ATGTACGTTCTTTAATGCTGTGTCGGATATGTGATATTGTGTTCTATTCTTATCACCCTTATGAGTTATCCTCATGGCTTCACACTTTTTAGGGTTAAACTTGACTTGCCAATCCGCCGCCCAGTCTTCTAAAGAAGCAAGGTCCGACTGTAGAGCTGTTACATCCCCAACGTCTATCTTGAGACTAGATGGCTAGCTTAACATTAGCTGCAAATGAGACCACAAAAAAGGATGGGCTAAACATTCATGACACATATCATCATACAAGTCATTAACTCAATTTAGGTCTCCCCTATTAGTAGAGTACTTGTACCCGTCTATAAGCTTAAGATGTTAATAAAGTCCTTATTATTATATAACCATTAGGAACCTGATTTCGTTTGGAAGACCAATCTATTGTCATTTTAATCTTATATAATCATATTTTTTAAACCAATCATTGAAATGGCTTCAGTAATATTATTTTTTCCATATGCTGTACATTTTTGTGGTAACTTTTTGGTAGGAATACTGTAACTTTCAAAAGAATTTATTTACTAGTACATCTGTGCCTATTCAAAAAACGGTTTTTGTAACATGAATTTAAGAATGGTTTATGATAGTTATCCAGGTTTCTTTGGTCAAACATAATTGGCAAAAGAATGAAATTTTCCTCAATTGTCAGATCCAACTACTTTAAATACCTTAAAATTTTTTGAAGTAGGCATTGTAAACAAATTATTATTATATCCTTACCTTTAAAATGTTTTAATTTTATGACCAAATACATAAACCCATTTTCAACCACTTTGGATACCTTATTTACCATATTTTTATAACAAAATTGACGAACAAAAACCTGTCCTGACAGTTTATATTATTATGATAATCATAAAATATCAGAACATTTGGAAGTCATTTTTTTGATACTTCTATATTATGTCTGAATGTATGTCATATTTGCAAGATACATCATAATAATTATAAGCCGATAGGTCATCCATCCTTAATTTCAATTGCATATTGTATACTTTTAATGCAAGAAGTGGTTATTGTAATTTATGGATGTATATTGAAGAGTGTTGGTAGATGCAAAAGAAATGCAATGTAACATGGCTTAGACATAGAATATTTCTAGCTACTGAAGGGCTACAAATAAGGCCAATAACCGGACAAATGTCCAGCCAGAATTTGAACTTACCCGGTCAAATCTTTTCCTTGACCAGCCATTATTTGGAGCCCTGTACTAAACACTTTAATGATGAAATGGATGATTTGTATCAATGAGTACCTCACACTAACTAGTGGCATGGTCATTTCCCATCAGATAATCAAACATGATTAATAATCATGCAATCTGTCAGTGCAAGGTACATCTCATAATAAACATTTCTTTACATAAATACTTTCCTATATTAATTGTCCCTGACTATCTTAAATCTATTAAATTACCAATACATATTTAAATAAAAGATTTTTAATTGCATAAAGCCTATGGCTGCGGAAAAAAAAAAGTGAAAATAATATTGACAGTAAAATACAATTTAGCTAATGTATGCCTCCTGTAATATTATCATGATTTAAAACTTTAAATACAAGTTTCAGAGTCAAATATTAAAAAGTTATACTTGTAATATCAAGGCAAGGTTAGGACTCGAAGGACAAAAATTATCACATATCTATCAATTTCTATGTAAAGAACCATATTTTTAATACTATAAATTTTTAATAGCCATAATATTTTATGGATAGAGTGTTTAAAGGGTAACATTTTAGGTATTGACTCTGAAAGCTAGTTGACACTATTGACACTAGAAACACAAGCAAATTGGCATATCTTTGTTGTGGTTGCAGCTGCAATTTTGTCTGATGCTTATGCTTGTGGTACTAGTGTGAGTCCAATTAAAAACAAAGCTTATCTTGTGTATACTAAAGCAGCCAAGGTTCCAATGCCTAATGTTGTAATAAATACACCTTTCCACCAAGAACTATCATTTGTTTTATCTCTGAATTGCTTGTTTAGGCCCTCCTATAAAAAAAGAGAATAGGATAATAATAATTGTGATAATATCATTACTTAAAAGTCAATAACCAGTGGAAACATGCAGCTGCTTTCCTAAGAGACTATTTTACAATGTGCTGTCGAAATTGCTGATTCACATGAAATAATTGCTGATTTATTTAGTTGCCATGACAATTACATTTGATAGCAACAGGGCGTATTATTACTGAGGTTAGTACTTGTAAATGTTTTGACCAATCAAACAGCAGTGGCCAATAGATATATTATTGCATGTTTGCATTAAACATACAAGAACACCAATTATTCAATTATTACCATATTGTAGTAATATTTTTGATCTTAGACATGCAAAGTAAAACTAAACTCAGTTATTAGTGATAAAATGCTTGCCAAACATGATTCTTAAGGATCCTGACAGGATTAAACTTAATTAAGGCAATAACAATATATTGTATATTGAAAAACAAAACTTTTATATCTGTCATATTTAGAGAAAAGAAAAGAAAAAATCAATGCAAGGAAACAGTGACCAAAACTTTTAGAAAATTTTAGAAATTCATAATTTGCAGAAAAATTAAGGAATCAAGAATAAATTGCCCATTTTTAATCAAATTTAAGAAATTAAACTATTTTGTTTGTTTTCATGTCATTTGAGGTAGGTGGGTAAACCATCTCTTTTAAAAATAAATCATTTGACTAGTTTTAGAGAGGAAGTCTATACCAACTAGAAACTGAAAGTGTTCTTCCTTCAAATTCATTATTTATTCAAATAACTGAAATTCTAAAGATTTTTTGACATTTTCCTCCTACTTAGTTTTTGCCAACATTGTACATTTCAGAGTTATAATCGGAATTTGTAACGCACGAATTTTATAAAAACAAGTCGTAAAGAAGTGTAAATTGTGTAATAATGAATTCTTACCCATCCACCATCATTGTAAATCCATTCACTTAATCCAGCAACGTACTTAGCAATCCAGTCGGTCACTAGATCAACCAAGTCTTTCATGTTATGTTGTTCACAGTAAACAGCAAGTCTTCCACCAAATGCATAAAGTACAACTATTCTTCCCCAGTTTACTCCATCGGCGAAGACTTCTCCGGCGATTTCAACAAACGTAGTGTAAGCCGTGCTTCTAGAAAAGTTTAGTTTGTGGCATAAGTGATTTAACAGTGCCGGGTATTGCTCCTCGATCTTATCTGCCAATTTTCTCAAAGTTTCCGCAACGGTGTTAGGTGGTTTATGGTTCTTACCAAGTCTATAAGCAATAATATCCTTTGCTAGCAGTTCTGATTGTTTTACAACCTCTGGATAGCATGTCCTTGGATCGTCTGAATTGAGTTCCATGGGTTTCTTGATTTTTAGTGAATATTTGAAAATATTTTTGTTCAAAGACCACTCAGTATTTCACTTCTAGTCAGCTCACTTTAGTTCACACGGCCATTTTTCGACGATTTGTTTATGAAAATAACGTGGTCAGACATTAAAATAAATCACAAATGAAGTACAACACAAAATAAACATCGCTGCATGCTCAACGTTAGATTCGAAAGGAAAGAGAAGCTGTTGATGGCAAGGAAGAGCTTTTCCCACACACAGTTGTTGCAAGCTTAACGGAGGCGAGCGAGAAAGCCAATTATTAATATTCATGACATTGAAATGACGCTCTCTGATTGGTTCAAAAGTGTAAATAAGTATTTAATATTTGACTTTTATGCCTAATTTCTATTTTCTGCTTGCCTCCTTGCACTAATGAATAGCCCAATGTCTTTTTAAAATTTTAAAATTTAAATCGTATTTTCATGAAAATTTCATGTAATAATATCAAGCATTTAACTGTCTTATAAAAGCTTGTTTCTTATGACGTAACTCGCCTGCTGCTCACGCATGCGTAGTGTTGTTCATCGATGAGTCAGTGCAAGTCCAATCAAGTCTCGAATACTAATCTCTGATTCGTGGAAATAACATGACGTACTTCTATATTTAGAGAACGCATTTTTCTGAGGAAAATTTCGTTCGAGCAAAATAGAAACAAACATTGCGCGGCAGAAGAGGCGAGTTTGAATTAACGAAGTAAATATAATTTGTCATCCACAAGGAGAAAACATCACCAGCATCTTCTATCATAGCTTTCTACGACCTTTTCATCGGATACCAAATATRCTCACTGTTTTTTCGAGACCAAGGCGCAGACTGAGTTGCCCGTGTTGTTGATTTTCTACAAGAGCTAAAGGAAATTGGATTTTCCTCTCTCCTCGACGAAATAGAACATTGAGGGTAACAGAAAGTAATATTTAACAACAAATATTGTTTTAACTTTCCATGTAAAAGTTTAAGCGCAGTTTTCTGGAATTTGAAGATATATTTATATCACCTGAACGAATCAAGGCAGGCCCATTTTAGAGCAACTCGTGTATCATCACCTTCGAAACATAATTTCATCTAACCAAATGGATGGTTTACGAGTCTTTGCCGAGAGAGAAAGGCAAAGGACTAGGAACATTATACCAAGAGACAATGCCAGGGATGAAATCCATGGAGTGGAAGTTGTACAAGGAACTGAGATTGTCAACCGAATAAATAGTGCTACTCAAATGACGCACCAAAATATAGTTGATCTTGTCAGCTCAAACAATAACAACGATCTGGGTCCACGTGAAGTAGGTTTAATTTTGAGAGCTATAGGAGATGATTTAAATATGAGGGCATTTGTTCGTCATAGCCCTACAGGATAAGGTCCAGATATCCTTATCATCGAAGCTGCTACCGTTGACAAGATTATTCCAAAGCTCCACCATTTTGCTGATCATGAGAAGCAATCGGCGAACGACCGATCATCGCTTCACTTGGATCCTATGTTTACAGCGACCCATCTAGTTGAAAACTTCATAAGCCAAGAATCATCAAAACTCAGTCCTTTAAACATGAATATTTTCTTTTGATTCGCGGATTTTCGTTTGTATCAAGCTTGCTGTGGGAATGATCATGAGTCCTGGCAAGTCCTCATTCCTGTAGAGCAAGCCCTCTCATAATTCCACCTTCATCTATCGAAAACAAAGATGCTAAAAACAATTTTGATTCCTTGGAATCAATATACATTTTCAAGCAGTTTTATGCTTGTTATTTTGCCACGTGTAAATCATATTCCATGTCAATCTAATTGAAGCAAAGCTATCTTGTAAATACTTCTGCATTTTTGATACCCTTTAGAGCTATATATATTACGAAGCTTTGTAAATACTTCATAAGTAAAAGCCAAAGACAGCTTATTCCAAGCTCCTAGAAAAATGGGATTATTTAAGTAAAATTTGTTAATAAAATATCCCATAAGAGCGCAACTTAATGCTGTATTTATGAGTTGAGTTATTAAACGTTTTGTTCGCTTATTTGTTTATTTATGCTAATTATAATTACGTACTTTGATCCAAGAGGAGGGGTTATGGCGGCAACCGTTCTCCACTAAAATGCGTTTTACATTCTCCTGTTTCCTATTAATTTTTTTCACCCTGGTAACGAGACCCTGACCTTCCTGATTCAGCTGGCAAAACGTCAAACTGATGATCCTATACAATTGCAAATCAGCAAATATAATAATAAACATTAATTTACTTAACTTGTTTCTGTTTTGGCAGAACAAACTTTTCAGGTTAGAAATTCAACTCACGTACGCACTTTCTATTCAGGGAAATTTTTTTTCATTTTCGTAGGTTTTTAAATTTTCCAAGGTCAAGTAATTAAACTGGCTAATTATCCGATTTGTATTAATACCCTTTCCCACTACTATTAAAATTACAAACAAATAAGTTTTAAAGAATTTTGAATTTGAACAATTGCCTTCATGCGTCCTATCTGATGTACAAAGTGCCACGCGACAGACACGTGCCCTGGTCGCACTGCATGTTATGTAATTAGATTAGTGTCACATCAAACGCAACATTACATCATTATCTCCAGAAGTTTCTTTTGCTGCAAGAATGTATCTTGAAATGTGAAAAAAGGGAAAACGTTCATATTTTATATGATCGAGAAACGCACATTAACTGATTTTTTTAATCGCATGATCGCATTTAAACGGTTAAGTCAAATATTCAATTCAATCACATTTGAAAAATAACTCGGATCTGCTAAAAAACACGAAGTACTTTCATTTTCTTTACATAATAGTTTTAAATGGTCCTCTCAGCTTTACTGCCACTTCGATACAGCACCCATAGCTTAGCCTCAGTCAGCAGATCCCCTCCCTCCCCTGTTCTCGTTGCATGCGGGTGGGACTCACTCTCTGATATCTTGATATATCACGCAAGTTAGTGAATATTTTCTTCTATGACCAATGGTGTGATCAATGTCACGTTATTAGTCACGTATGCAGCCCGCTTGATGATGCTTTAAGTCGGTCGCTTCCGATTCGTGAACATTTGACAGTCCGCACGTTTATTTTCGGATATATGCGCAACGAAGACGCTATATGACCCATAAAACCCAAACTTGAGAGAAATATTAATTTTCAACAAACTTTTTAAAGATATATATATATATATATAAAGATATTGCAATTTTGAGCCGCCAATAGGCGGTTTATGTGTTTATTATAGTCATCATCGTCAGACGACTTCCGTTGAGATCAGTCGCTAGTTGAGTATTGTTCATCATTAGGCACCAATGACTAAAACAGTATTTTCCCCCTTGGTTTCTCCCGAGGACGTCTATTAGTTTGCGCGCTTCAAACTTTTCTTGTTCCCACTCAATTTTCTAAGGAGTCTTGCCCTTACTTGATCGGACTTTGTTTCAAGGAATTCTTCAAAATCGAAGTTTTTTAAAGTAATGCTGTACTGCCTTTGTGCAAAGAATCGAATGGCGAAAAATTTGCCCAAGTAGTTTATCCCATTTTGACAGCCATTTTTAATGGTAAATTAAGTTAATAATTTTTCTTATTTCAGCGGGAAAACATCGATCATCAGTATTGTGCTAAGGATTGAGAACACAGGTCAGAGCCTAAGCTATCAAATGAGTATTTTTGATATGACTAACTGTTTTTTGTTTTTTATTACATCATTGGGGAAGGTTTAACGTCTTTCTCTGACAAATTTGAGCATATGCACAAGAAATGTGACCCTCTTCTCCGTTGTGCTTGTTGTACATTAAAAAAGTGGGCTTCACTTGTTTTCCATTCTGGTGAAACCATAAGGTCCCATAATTATCCATGTCATATTGATACTCGTTTAAACCAGTTTTTTTAGTTTTATGCTTTTATGACTGCTCATATTTCAGACATGCAGGATCCAATGGCCTGTGACGTAATCATGACGTATTGAGCAAGGGAATGACAAGCTGATCAGCCAGATTCTTGTACGCTTCGAATCAAATATTCTTATTAAGTTGTGCTTATGAAAACATTTAATAACTTAGTTGAACATTGAGGTAGGCATTTATCTTCTGTGCTGGAAAAGGGGCGAAAATTWGTCTAAGTTTATTGTACTCGATTGAAGAATTGATATCACATGTCAGGTTAATGACACCGCTCTATAGCTAGAAGTTGGTACCTAGCGATCTCGTCATGAAGGGGCATAGCATTTTATTGCTCATGTTTGTGCTCTTTAACTCATATTTTTGTCGTCCAGAGGATCCAGAATACAAATGTAAGTATTTTACTTTCGTCTCGTATGAAAAAACTGGTAAATAAGATCAATTTTTTCCGTAAAATCTTATTCAGACCTTTGTATGTTGTGAGTACATTATCAACATGGAGTCAAAAAGAATGCGCGAAGTGTTTGCATCAAGTTTAAATTTATAAATTATTGAACAAAGGAAGCGTATAGCTGACCAAATATCTGCTCTTAATTTCAGTATGTGAACTCAAAGCCCACCCTGTTTTTGGAAAGAAGGAAAAAGTGCATATTTTAAGAGGATATGGAGGAATATGTAAAGGATGTGACCTATTGAAAAACTGTACCACTTTTGATGGAAGTATTCAGATCCAAGGTTTTCATCAAGTACTCAACGGTGATTTGAAGAAAGAACTGCACTTTCCAAAGCTTACTGAAATAACTGGGCATTTATTAATCTCTCTGCTGTATAAAGTTAAAGATTTAGAGAGTATATTTCCCAATCTTGCTGTTATTCGAGGAAACCATTTGTTTCTAGACTACGCTTTGGTGATCTACCAAAATGATGGCCTCAACCAAATCAACTTGCCTTCACTCACAACCATCTTGAGTGGCGGAATTCGTATCGAGAAAAACATAAACCTATGCTATGTCAAAACAATAAGATGGAAGTCTATCATGAAAATGAATTCAGAAGATCCTTATTCATTAGTAACTACTTCGAATAACAACGACTGTTATGATTTGTGCTACAAAGGCAAATGTTTCCCTCCTGCTGGACACGGAGACTCGGGAAACCAGTATTGTTGGGGGTCAGGAACTGTCCATGATTACTCTTGCCAAAGATGTAAGTAGAAAACATACTAGTAAGGCTACTTTACGCCTCTAATTACTATAAGATAAAAACAAAATCAAATATAATTCTAATCGACCAGTTGATCGTCTTGACCTTGTGATAATATGCGCAACGTAGCCGATAGTGCATATTTTGTTCCACGTTCTCTATGCTAGTAATATTGTCAAAAACCATCGGGCTTTGATATATTAATAATTGTTTCATTTTTTGTGGTATTCAATATTTTTGATTATGATACAGATTCGTCGTTTTTTAAGCAATCATAACAAGAATTAGCAAAATACAGCTTGACCTAGTAAAGGTTATATCCGACCGCTCACGTTATTGCAATTTAGAGTCTGCATTTTATCGCTGTTTTTTGGCGTTGTTGCTGCAAAAGATATTCCTGGTGGCGTTTTTCGTTCTATTGCTGGGCATAACGTTTATTATTTCCAATTTGAACGTACTTTATGAATATCAGAAATACTGATTATTTTTATTTTTATGTCATGTTCATGCGTAACGCTCTTAATATATTGGCTTCATTGCTACGATCGAAACAAAGGAAACGATTGGTAATACATCACCGCAAACAATATAAACCCAAAAAACGTTATTAACTAACTGTGATAAAATAGGTAAATATGTTAATGATCGTCGTCTAGCTCAGACAAAAATAGTTGTGCTATTTTCTGAATTTTTTGTCAATTATGAGCAATTTAGCTCAGGAAATAATTAATCAATTTTATGCTCACTAGTTTGACACCTATTTTTTCCTGTTTTTCCATAACCGCCTACTCAATGTTTTTCATGTAGTTTCTAAAAACATTCCAGCCTTAGACAAATATTGATGTCATTAAGAGGAAATATCAATCAGGAATCTAAAGGGGTAGTGTCAATAGTGACATCTTATTTGTCAAAATAGGAGGTCTTTGTATAAATATGCAAGATAAACAGCAAAGTTCTGTCATCGTGTTTTTTAAGATAGGCATTCAATTGTTTCCCCTTGACCAAAACACCTGTTTTATTAGAAATAGTAGTTTATAAACTTTATAAAAAGGAAATTTGTTTCCAGTGCCAGAAAATCTCATCTTTTAATTAAAAATTATTTGCCAAATGCGAAGTGAATATCGGGGAATATTTACAGAGACTCTAGTCTTCGAGCGAAAATCAGCGCGTGAGATTTTAAATAATCTCCTGTGTATTTTTACTAAATAATAATAATAATAATGATAATAATGATAAT